CCTCCATAGAAGAGTAGCCTAATTGGCATTCCAAGTGGTGCCAAAAAGAGTTTCTTCTTTTTTCTTTCCCTTTGTGTTTCCCCTTACTACAATAAAGGTCTCCGAACCAAAGATTATTCGGTTTTGACTCTTTTTTAATTCTAAAATAATTGGAGAATACTCCGTTCATTTTTAAAGGATGATCAGCAGATTACTCAAAACAAATTAGCTATTAATTCATAAGTGATTTACTGTCTTCTTCTCCATTTAATTTTACCCTATTTTGTAAAGGCAATCAACTTGAGTGAATCTTTTATTCCAAATGTGTTGTTTTTGCAAACATGACTTCTTTTCAAAAATGGAAGATTTTAAGTCAAAATTATTGAATTTATTTTCTCTTTCCTCTTGATGATTATATTTTACTTGATACACGTGGTTTACATGTGATTGTGTACGTTCAGAAATTAGTTGAATTATTTTTCGTCACCAAAAAAAAGAAAGAAAAGAAAGGAAAAAAAATTATTGGCACATCATGAAAACCNTCATAAGCTTCCTCCATAGAAGAGTAGCCTAATTGGTATTCCAAGTGGTGCCAAAAAGAGTTTCTTCTTTTTTCTTTCCCTTCGTTTTTCCCCTTACTACAATAAAGGTCTCTGAACCAAAGATTATTCGGTTTTGGCTCCTCTCTAATTCTAAAATAATTGGAGAATACTCCGATCATTTTTAAAGGGTGACCAGCGTAGAGTATTCAAAACAAATTAGCTATTAATTCATAAGTGATTTACTGTCTTCTTCTCCATTTAATTTTACAGTGAATCTTTTATTCCAAATGTGTTGTTTTTGCAAACATGATTTTTTTTCAAAAATGGAAGATTTTACGTCAAAATTATTGAATTTATGTTCTCTTTCCTCTTGATGATTATATTTTACTTGATACACGTGGTTTACATGTGATTGTGTACGTCCAAAAATTAGTTGAATTATTTTTCGTCACCAAAAAAAAGAAAGAAAAGAAAGGAAAAAAAATTATTGGCACATCATGAAAACCCTTTTTCTTTCTGCTTTCACAATGCATGGCATGTGCGTAGTTAATGTATTTGCATTGATTTTAGACATTTTGTAAGGTTTCCTTGCCATTGAAGCAACCCTGATTGCTTCTAGTTTCAAAAACTCCATAGAGGTAAACTGAAAAACCTATCTTCCTCAGATGATACATCTAAACCTTGCCACATTATACGTAAAGCCATTAACTAATGTTTCAAGTACAACCTATTGGATGACATTAAACCACACTTGTGGATCTTGTCGAACAAAGCACCAACCTGGATCAGCTTACCTTGAGGCCTGAAGCAAGAAGTTTTATGCAATCTCAATTTAAGTCAATGACCTTTTGGGAAAACCCAGGTTTGGTCAATCGCTTGAAAATGAAATAATCTGTTGTTGATTTGATTCAAATTAAAAGTTTGCGTAAGACCCTAGTTTGAGGAAAAACTAGTCGAAATGGATGCAACTTTGAAGCATAGTATTTATAATATAAAATATGACAAGTTTCAATAAATACATCCAACAATTTAAATAGATTCATCCAACAGCCACCAACATCCTCTCAAAACCATTAACATTATACTGTGTATGAAGGTACAAATTACCTTGGTAACAAATGTACAATGCCATATAACTTACAACCCCTCTTACTCTCAGGTGACGTGGGCTCTTTTTTTTTGTTGGGGGGGGGGGGGGGGGGGGGGGGGGGGGGAGGAGTGTGAGCCTTATAAAGTCTTGAACTCTTCCTCATATTTTTTAGAGAAAGTATCCTCACTCGTTGTCAACTCGAAATCACTTTCTCTCCTTTCTGTGGGCAAATCTTTCTTCTTCCAATTAAGGCATGTGTCCAAACCCTTGACACTTGTAGCATTAAGGTCCTTGCCCTTTTTTACTTTTCCCTTTATGTTCTCCTTCTTCCTTGAAAAATTTAGGTCCACTCATCTTTCCTTTCGACCCTAAGGACTCAACTTCTCTAGCCTTGATACTTCCTAAACTTTCTCTCAAATTGGGCTAAATCCTATTTTCCCAAACAAGGTGACTTGGATTCATCTCCATCTTCTCGTATTGACTTTAATATCATGTCCCTCAGTTTCTTGGGTGGTTGGAGATTCATCTTGAAAGTCAAAATAGACCCAACTAGGTCTTCTATCGACACCATCTCCAACTTGACTCTAGTTTCAAAGGTCGTCAACTTAGTATGAAACCTCTCTGGTTGAGATCTCAATATTTTTCATTAAATCATGGAGTCATTATACTTGGTGCCTAATGTGAATGATAAATTTGCATTATTGCACAATCTACATAGAAATCGTTAAAATTTTCATCTTCTTGCATCTTCAAAGCCTAAAATTGAGAGGTGTACCTTTGGAGACGAGACATCTTCACTAAAGGTGTTCCATCGTAACAAACTTGTAAGATGTCCCATGCCTATTTGGAAGTCTCAAAATTGGAGATCTTTCAAAACTTGTCAAGTGTCACGACATTGAATATCGCATTCAAGCCTTTTGAGTGTCACCCCCACAGTCTTGTACTTGGTTTTAGACCAAGTCTTTGGAGATTTTGGTTCAACAACGGCTTCAACACCTTCAACCGGTGTGGTGGCCATTGGAGGGCTCTAACCCTCTAGCACATACATCTAAACATGCTCATCAATCGATTTTAGAAATGCCCTCATTCTAGCTTTTCAATTTGCATAGTTTGTACCATCAAAGAGCGGTGGTCATGTTATTGAACCTTCTTCTTTTTTAGACTTCGTTAACAACCAACCGGTAGTTATAATGAATCAAAAATCACAAAACTAGGTCAATTAGGCAAATATGCAATGAATGCCTATACTAAATGTAATTCAAGAAAATCTTCCTCTGATACTAATTGTGGGGAAAATATGACACTTCACATGTAGGATCTTTCTACTCAATTATACATGAGGAATTGCACCTTAGACCTATAAGGGGGCTGAATAGGTTAATTTAAAATTAAGCTCAGATGACCTCCAAATTTAATCTAACTCTACCAAAATTACCTCTTTTCGCCAAGCTATGACAATTTAAGGAAGAACCCCTTTTAACATGAACAACCCATTAAGAGTGTGAATGAATGAATGAATATGCAATCAACACCAATCAATCCACAATCTCTCCTTTGATCCCAACCAAAACCACAATCACACAAAACACTATTAATGACTTGAAAGATAGACAATCAATTCATCAAACATATGGTACACATGTGTAGAACATTGCAATTGTACAAGTAAATTAAAGCAATAAAGAACACATGCAATTTGTTGACATAGAAACTCTTCTCGGGAAAAACTATAGGGAACCTTCTTAGTTTACAAAGCCTAATCCACTAAACCCAAAGTCAATATATAAATACTCGATTCTTATACCTCAACTAATCCACATGTCTAGATGCTCCTTTCATTCGTAGATCTCTTCGCCTAAAGTCCCTCTTCGACGTTATAACTAGCTTCACTTTAACACCCCTTTGCAAGGTTTATTTAGGCCTCGAGTAATTTTCAAGGCTTTACATTCAAGACTTCGATATGCACGCTCTCCCAGTGGGTTTTGATTGACACCAAGAAAAATCTTCTTCTTTAATGTGTGAGATTGAATGGGAGAATCAAGAGGGTGGACCTTTGGTCTTAGGGATCTACGGTTGTTCTTGATGCACTCGATAAGGATGTTTGGTCTATTATAGCTCATAAAGGCTTTCCCTCAGTTTAAGACATAGCCCCATATATATAGGACACAAAATAGAGTTTGTCTTGGAGATGAAGAAAACACATATTTGCATCGACCACTCGAGCAGTGAGAGGACGATCATAGGGAGGTGTTTATTGGAGTGAAAGATAAGTCATTCTAGACTACAGATTGCTCGATCGGTGGTAGGGTGGTCATAGGGTGGCCATCAATCGATCTCCCTGGTTTCTTTAGTTTTGTCTAACAATGCAAAAACTTGACCTAATGAGCACTAAATGGTGTTGCTCAACTAGGGTTGGTCTGATAAATGACTCAAACCATCTTTTCAAAACAAATTTAAGGTTTAGAAAATATTTTCAACAAAAAATCCTAGGAGTCATTTTTCAGATATTCCAAATCTATTTTGTTCATCTTAATCATCCTAAGTCTAAAATTAAACCAAGAGATATAGGTCTCTAAGGTTATTACCCTTGTGTTCAGCTTGAAGGTGCATCGGTGTAGTCTTGATGCAGCATAGTAGCTTGATCTCCTTTCCTTCCTTTGTCGCTTATGGATCTTGATCTTTGAAGCTTGATGACCATAGAATTTGGTTGAGATTTACATAGACTTCACCAAATTAATTAATTAAAAATACATGATCTTACAGAACCTTTTCTCCATCGAGAGTATATAAGGTTCAAAGCCTTCTATTGCATCCCATAATGGAAATTCTACAAATTATTAGTAATTAAATTTTTCATAAAAGTAGCAAGAAGAAAATACATAATTTAAAACACAAGAAGTTGGAATATGTATGAATAGAAGAAGGCTAATGTTATATCACCAATACCTTGGGTGTCAATATTTGTCAAGAGTAGGATATAACTGAAATAAAATATAGTATTTATGGAATTTAGAACTTCATTCAAATAAATTACCAAGAGTAGAAATTCATTGATATAAAAAAAAANGAAAGAACCCCAATTCATAGAGGATCATTTGTACTGCCTAATCTTTGCAATTGAGTTTATGAGCGGCCACATTATCAGTGCATTCACTAACCAAAATCACCAGACTCACTTGATAATAGGTAGAAAATAAACACAATTTTTTTGACAATTTCTACTCTACAATCATGCAAAAAAACACTTTCATATACACCCAGAATTGGAAACAATTATAAATTCTGGGTTCGGTTTTACTCTGGTTCCTGTTTTGATTATGCAACCAATGGAATGAAAACCAACACCCATAAATACCCAAATCCAATACTATGCTTTCAAGAAGCGTATTTCATATGATCACAAAAAATGAAGCGTATTCTTTCACCTGCTCAGTACGGGTGATTTCGGCTTTGGTATCTTCCCCGGAGGTTTGAACATTCTTCGGAGGACAAGAAGGTTTGGGTAACTCCGGCGTACTTGACCGGCTAGACGGAGCGGACCTGGTACGGGCTCGAGATGTTAAGTGACGGCGAGGTTTGCTTTGAATGGTGAACCGAAATGAACTGTTGGTAGAGGGTAAACAGCCAAACCCAGTTCCAGATTGTGATGACGAAGTTGATGATGAAAGGGGAGGGAGAGTAGAAAATGATGAGGAAGAGGAAAAGCCAAAAAGACTGGGACTATCATGGCTTCCGTCTGGATTACCATGAACAGGTAAGGCCATGTTTTGCTGTGAGAGAAGATGAAGAGCCTATGTGAGTTTCAGAAGGGAGTAGTGTCTGGGCTTATGGAAGAGGAGGAGTCTGTGGATTTCTTATAGAGGCCAGTCCTTCGTCGAAGTTGAAAAACAGAGTTTGAAAAGAATATTTCACCGTTGTGTATTTCTCAATGAATTCGTACAGTGCATATACAGAAAGGTCAGAGGTATAGATCCTATAATCATCCTATAATCTATTATTCCTACAATCAAGTCATACGAATAATGAATCTATTCACAACGACCAGGACAACAACATTGTTTCTGGAATAAGAAAAAATGTCAAAGGTAATTACAAAGATAGTTGAATATCAATCCAATATTTTTACACTCTCCCTCAAGTTGTTGGTGCATAGATCTCATACATGTCCAACTTGCCCAAAAACTTCAAGAATACTCAATTTGAAACTGCTTTGGTGAGGATATCTGCTAGTTGATCTTTCGATCAAATGTGAGGCAACTCCACAATTCGCTCATCCAACTTTCTCTTAATGAAAAATCTATCTACCTTAACATGCTTTGTACAATCATGTTGAACCGCATTATGGGCAATATCACATGCTGCTTTATTGTCACAATATAGTCGAATTGGTTGCCTGGGTGGATAGCCCAAATCCCTTAAGAGAAGCTTTAGCCATAACACTTCACAAACTCCAAGTGCCAGACTTCTAAATTCAGCTTATGCACTTGATCGTGCAACAACATTTTGTTTTTTTGCTTCTCATATAACGAGGTTACCACCTACAAAGGTGAAATATCCTGAAGTAGGTTGTCTATCATCTAATGCTCCAACCTAGTCAGCATCGGTATATGCTTCCACGCTTTAACAATCTATATTTTTAGTGAACAAAATTCCCTTTCATGGAGTTGACTTTAGATACCTCAAAATACGTATAACAACATTCATATGTTATTCTCCAAGATTATGCATAAATTGACTGACAATACTCAATGCATAGGCAAGATCAGGTCTTGTGTAGGCTAAGGACATCAATCTTCCTACGAGTCTCTAGTATCTCCCTTTATCAACTGGTACTTGAGTAGACTCAACACATAATTTCAAACCTTCTTCCACTAGTGTATCAGTTGGTTGACATGTTGACATACCAGTTTCTTGTAACAAATCGAAGGCATATTTTCTTTGAGAGAGAAAGATCCCTTTATCAGATCGGGACACTTCAATTCCAAGGAAAAATTTCAAGGGATCAAGGTCTTTCATTTCGAATTCTCTGGACAAGTAACCTTGTAGTGTTTTCCTTTCTTTAGGATCATTTCCTGTGACTACAATGTCATCTACATATACAATAAGTGCAGTGATTTTACCTTGTCATTTCTTCAGCAATAAAGTGTGGTATGAATTGCTCTGGTGGTAGCCAAAGGTTATCATGGCCTTCGTGAATCTTCCAAGCCATGCTCTTGGAGATTGTTTCAACCTATGCAATGATTTCTTTAACCTGCACACCTTCTAACTATGTATTTCTAGTATCATGCTTCCTGGTGGGAGATCCACGTAGACTTCTTCATATAACTTTCCATATAGAAAGACGTTTTTCACATCAAATTGTTGTAATGGTCAATCCAAGTTTGCAGCTAGAGACAACATTACTCGAACTGTGTTGATTTTAGCTACAGGCGCAAAAAGTATCAGTATAGTCGATCCCATAGGTTTGGGTGTATCCTTTTGCAACCAATCTTACTTTAAAGCGTTCAATTGTACCATATGCTTTATACTTCATCGTAAAAATCCACCGACATCCAACTTGTGACGCCCCAAAAATCGGGGGTCCTTTTTCAGCCGTTGACCACCCGTCAACCCGCGGAAGTACTCGTGACTTTTGCACCACCCGACATTACATCAACATCAACCCCTTAACTGGGATTATACCCACACGTCCGTGGTCTTTTACACATTAATTTATTGTCATTTATGTCCCATAGAACACTTTTGATCAAGAGAAAACAATGCCCAAAAACTTAATGAAACATTTTGAAAATTTGGAGTTTTAAGAAAATCTACTGGTAGGTGTGTTCATAAACCTACCGGTAGAAGTGGGCATTGGATTCCTATTTTAGAAAATTTGTGAAAACCTACCATTAGTTGTGTTCAAAAAACTCCAAATTTTCAAAATGTTTCATTAAGATTTTGGGCATTGTTTTCTCTTGATCAAATGTGTTCTATGGGGCATAAATGACAATAAATTAATGTGTAAAGAATCACGGATGTGTGGGTATAATTCCGGTTAAGGGGTTGGTGTTGACGTGATGTCGAGTAGTGCGACAGTCACGGGTATTTTCGCGGATTGACTGGTAGTCAATGGTTGACAAAGAACCCCCGATTTTTGGGGCGTCACACAACTAGTTCCTTTCTTGGTGGACAATCAACAAGTTCCCAAGTTTTATTCTTCTGCAAGGACTTCAATTTCTCATTCATAGCAGCTTTCCACCTTGGGTCAACTAAGGCTTCCTGCACACTGTTAGGAATAGATACATTAGATAATTGATTTACAAATGATTGATTTGATACTGACAAACGATGGTTAGACACATAGTGACTTGCTATAACTTTAATATTATAAATTCAAGCGCAGGTTGAGTGAAATAATATATTTCTCGGAAGACCGAGATCGAACCTCTAGGGAGTTGTAAAATAGCAACAATCATACAAATACTATAACAAATTTGTAAAAATAATTTGTTTAAGAGATTGTTGAGTTGAGAAAATATTAATTTAAGTAATTAAAAAAAAAATACTAGAGCATCAAATACTCCTTCTTAATTCCATACAATAATGATTAAAGACTTAATTCTTAATTTTAGACAAGAGTCAAATATCGGTTGATTCAAGTCACTAAATTAAGCAATAAAACCATAATTTATAATCAAAAGATTATTCAGGAACCTGAATAATTATCCAACTATATTATTATGTGAAATAATGATAATCAACTTAAGCGTGGAATAACCAGTTATTTACTCGCAGAAAAATTCAAGCAATTAATGTACGTGGCACAATAACTCAAGAATTTTTACAGAGCAAAAATTTTGCTAAGAAATCAAAAATTGAATTAACAAAATATCACATATTATAAAGCTCAGAGTCGATAACATTACTGTATTTCATTGAAAGGTCCTCCCCTAGCTCTAGCTGAACCATTTAGTTAGACATGACGAACTAAAATCAAAATAAAAAGATAGAAAAAAGAATCATAATAATCTCTAAATGAGAATCCTTATTTATACTAAAAATAAGTCTTAAGTATAGGTAGAAGATATAAGGTTGAATTGGAAAGAATTCATTTCCAAAAAGAAGTCTTGTAATGTTAAATCCCGTATATAAAATCTTTGGGAGTGCGGGTACAAAAACTGTCCAGATTTCGAGCTTTAATTTTGCATATTTACAGGTTGAATTACGAAATTGCGTGAAATACACTTTTGTAGCCCTTGAAGTCTTTTGTTCAACCCCTAAAAATAAAGTAAATCGAATATCCGAGTCAAAAATTATAACCAAAATACTGAAGACGTGTCAAATTCTTATCTTCTAAGATACTTTTCGAACCCAACTTTAAATGAATTTTCTTACAACTTGGACTCTTATAAGGATTAAATTACTATCATATCTTCAAATCTTTTTATTTTACTCATGATTCTTCAATCCTTATCAATTGAGATTCTTCTTTTAGTGATTGTTTTACTTACATTATCCATTATTACTTTAAATCAATCAATTTACCTGCAAAATAAACCAAACAACTAGAAAAAAATATCAACCTAAAAAATTAAGGAATTTAACACATTTAATCACAAATAATATGTAATTAACCAATCATTAAATATAATAAAATAACAATTTTGATGGTTAATCATGACTCATAGGATATTTAACTTTACTAGAAGGATCGGGTTCATATGTAGGTTTAGGAATACCTCTGGTTTGACGTTGTGGTAGTTGTTTTCTAACTGATTCCAAAACATCTTTAGCAAACGATTGGTTTGATGTATCAGTTGCATGTGGTGTGAGGGACTCAGACGAAGGTGGAGCCACACCTTCAATTTTCTGGGTGTATCTCACCACTTTGGTCCAAAGTTATACCACTCAAATCCAATTCACCCACTTCTTGATTGGTCGACCTAAGTTGTAAGTGTTTATCACCACTAGCATCCAAATTTATACTATTTGTATCCAAGTTACCCACATCACAGTTAACATGTTTAGGGAGTTCTAAAGTCTGAGCTTCCTCAACGTCATAATCTAGAGTATGAACTTCCTCCTGGTATTCCCCTTGAAGTTTAGGCTCAGACAAAAATAGATGGAGTCTTCATGAAAAACAACATCACAAGTGATAAACATTCTTTGAATTGGTGGATGATAGCATTGGTACCCTTTTTGATGAGTAGCATACCCAACAAAGACATATCTCAATGCTCGAGGTGTCAACTTGTTGTGTTGATGCTTGTGAAGGTGTATGAATGCTACACAACCAAAGACATAAGGAGGTAAGTTTGGGACATATGGGGCAACACTCACGTTAGAAAGAGCTTAGGATGGTGTTTGGAAATTGACAGTGCTCGAGGGTACTCGATTGATCAAATACATTGTAGCAGAGAGTGCTTCGCCCCAATAAGATAATGACATTTGAGCTTTTATCAATAAAGCCCGGACAACCTCCACTAAGTGATGTTTTTTAGCTCAACTACCCCATTCTGTTGGGGTGTATAGGAACAGGTAGTTTGATGAATAATTATGTGTGCTTCCAAATATTGCTGCAATTCAGAACTCATATATTCTCCTCCATTGCCACTATGGAGGATTGAACTTGTGCATTATATTGAGTTTGAACCATTTTATGAAAATTTTGAAATAACAAGTTCACTTCCCCTTTGAACTTCATCAAGTACAACCAGGTCATCCTGGTACAATCGTCAATAAAAGTAACAAACCAACATGATCCACCCAAGGTAGTGACTTTGGATGGACCCCAAACATCAGAATGTATAACCATAAAAGGAACTGAACTTTTATTCAAAGTTAATGGAAATGAAGAACGATGATTCTTTGCAAGTTCACAAACTTCACATTGAAACTAGAAACATCAAATTCTGCAAAC